TGTGTTCTGTAGTGACTGGAGAGTTGCTGGGATGTTTTAAAAGCCTTTTCACACTGGTCACACTCATATACTATGTCCCGGGAGTGAGTTCTCATGTGTGATTTGAGATTGGATGATGCAGAGAACCTTTTCCCACACTGGTCACACTCGTATGGCTTCTCTCCAGTGTGGATTGTCATATGTCGAACAAGGGCACTAGATCGTTGAAACGCTTTCTCACACTGGTCACACTCATATGCCCTCTCTCCAGTGTGGATTGTCATATGCGACACAAGGTGGCCTGAAGCTGAAAATGCCTTTTCACAAACATCACATTTGTATGGTTTTTCCCCTGTGTGGATTCTCATATGTTGAACGAGAGCAGAAGAATTCGTAAATGCCTTCTCACACTGGTTACACTTGTATGGCCTCTCTCCAGTGTGGACTTTAATATGTGATACAAAGTGGCCTGGACGTGAAAATGTCTTTTCACAAAAATCACACTTGTATGGTTTTTCCCCTGTGTGGATTGTCATATGTCGAACAAGGGCGCTAGATATTCGAAATGCCTTCCCACACTGGTCACATTCAAATGGTTTCTCTCCAGTGGATTCTCATATGCTGATGGAGATTACTAGAGTGTATAAATGCCTTTCCACACTGGTCACATTCAAATGTTTTCTCTCCTGTGTGAGTTCTCATATGTGATTTAAGGCTGCTTGACTGTGAAAATGCCTTTTCACAAACATCACACTTGTATGGTTTTTCCCCAGTGTGGATTCTCATATGTTGATGGAGATTACAAGATTGTATAAATTCCTTCCCACACTGGTCACACTTGTATCGTCTTTCTCCCGTGTGGATTCTGTAGTGTCTTTTCAGTCCGTAAGGTTTTGGCCACTCCTTTCCACACTGGTCACATGTGAACCCCATTCTGTCAGTGGATCTTGTCGCTCTGCATTAGAACAAAAGAAAGGAAGTGTCAAGTAAAATTACTTTAACTGTTCACACAAAATACACATAAAATCACACATATTAAATCATATGTAAGAATGTAGCAATGTGTGTTTTACAAGCAAGTTACATTTCACTGAAAGCATCAACTAAGTTTGTATTTTATTTTAAAGGCACACTTTTTCTGTCTGTAGCAAAAGAAAATCAAATTACGGAAACATACACAGAGATATTTAACAACGTTTTTGTTCTGAATTGTAATCCACATGTTCAGTGGAAATGATAAATGTAACACACGTGACGACAGAAGCCTGGGCTTTGGTGTAACAGTGCAACTTTAATTCTGTAAGGACAGAAAAACAGCTCTGCTAAGTCATCGGGACCGACCGTTAACAACAGCTTACACTGAACTGCTTCTGCTGTATGACTACGCAGACTAATACTTTAGTAATTACACAGTTATTTCCAAAATTATTTGTTACAGATATTGTAGAAATTCATAAAAATAACCCTGAATGTATTTTCATGTACTGTTCTAATCAGTATCTTGTATCACCAGAAGGGATGGGCATGATCAGTCGATTAATCAATAATTGATTATTAAGAATTTCATCGATTACGTAAATTTTAATCGACAAACCAAATGAAGGTTGCTGTGACCAAACAGGTCTGTACATGTGTCTCTGCATCAGAAGGAGCGAGACACAAACAGTGGGTCAGTCTACAACGTACCAAAGCACAAATGTGTATTTAACGATGATTTGTACAAAAAATTCCACACTTTCCGTTGCGTTCGGGACAAGTGCGAGTCCATGTGCACAGTGTATAAAGCAGCACATATGTTTCGGTGTTCAGTGGGAAAAAGTTTTTCCAGGTGAGAGTCGCTCAATGTGGATGACAAGGCCCCGCCCCCCCTGCCCCCGTACGGTGTCCTGGTTTTGACAAACACAAATCTGGTCACACTAACCTGTATTCACCTGAGTCATGTCTTTTATAGGGGTGTCAAATTATCGCGTTAATTGCGATTAATTAATTACAGTCATATTTAGCGCGTTATGTTTTTTAATCGCGTTAATCTCATTTTTAATCTCTAACTTTACCGTTTCTGTATGCGAGTTGCTTTATTATAAAACCTGTTTTTATGTGTTGTTGGGACAACAACACACACACAAAAAAACACATTTATACATTTTTTTATTTATTTCGGTAATTCCACTCATTGCCGGAAACCCACACAGGCAGTAAGAGTGATGTAAACGTCTTGTTAACGTTGGCGGCGTCAGTCGCACAATGGACGAGGTTGAAGAGCCAGTAGAACAGAGGCAGCAGTGCACAGGGAAAAACACATTCGTGTCTTGGAAATTATTCTCCCGACGTGAAGTATAAAAGAAAATAACAAATATAAAATCGCCTACAACTTAAATGTCACTGGTGAAAACAACCTGCATAGGCTCATGATGTCTGCACTACTGTCCTATAGTGACCTGCCACATGAGGGGACACGCACACAAACAGACACAAACACACACCTTCATCATTGTCATTAACCTGAGAACGCGCGGACCACGTTTCCTTCCGTAGTTACTGCGCGGACACCGACCTGCTCCTGTGAGCCGCGTGTGGATCGTGTTTTCTCGCGTACGCTACGTAAACCGCGCTTCCTCCTGTGCGCCTCTAAACCAGAACTAACACCAAGACTAAAACCAGGACTTATCCAGTCCAGGACTAAACCAGGTCTAAACCAGGACTAAACCAGAACTAAAACCAGGATTAATTCATTCCAGGACTAAACTAGGACTAAAGTAGGACTAAAGCAGGTCTAAACCAGGACTAAAACCAGGACTAAAACCAGTGATCTCATATATAAAGCATTTCTATGTCAATAATATTTTTAATATGGTTAAGGAAAGACTGGACTTTTTATTGTCTTTAAGTAGACAAAAGTTATTATGTTCAGATTTCCTCGTCTTTGCTACTTTACAACAAACAGTTTCTTATTCATGGAGACTTGGGCTCAACAGCCAATTTGGAGAGATTTGTTACACAATAAATTACTTTATAAAGTCACTTTTTTTAATCTATATCAGTCTTTTGATCTGCCACAATAATGTAATAATGAATTTAAATGAAAATACCTCAAATTGAAGGCTTTTCTCAGCAATTTTTAGGTGAGATTAAAATGAGATTAATTAGATTAATTAATCTCTCAATTTTTTTTTATCGCATGACAGCACTAGTCTTTTAATCCGACAGAAGTTGAACCACATCAGTGACACATGAGCTGTAGTTTTATCTTCACGTTTATGCAAATTAGTGATGCGATTTTAAGTTTCGTTTCTGTGAGAGTTGCGCAAAACCGAATTAAACACATTATAATGTCAAACGGATTGATGTGACTCTAGAGTCGTTACGGTTTATATGTCGTAAAGTTGAATTTATTTATGCAGATTAGTAGTGCAGATAGTAATAATAATGATGATCATTTTAATATAAAAACATTAATGATTAATCGATAATCGATCGTTAATTCTTCCGACGATCGATTAAGAAAATTTCATCTAATGCCCGTCCCTAATCACCAGTACTTGAAATAACATATTATAATTGTACACAGCGGTTAACTGCGCATTAATAAACAAAAACATGGCTTATAAACATTTACAGAGCCATGCATTGGAAGTTCGGGCGGCTTTAGCATCTATGCTAGCGGCAGTTAACAGATAGTTTATAAAAGAATAACTTCAAAATACGACTTGGCTCAACAAAACATATTCCTAGATTTGCATAAACATTAAGGGTCTAACGATATCCAAGTCTCACAATACGATATCATCACGGTATGATATTTACTGTGATATCGTGGGAAAGTTCACAATATGGTGGGAAGGTTCACGATTAGGGATGTGACAATATCCAAATCTCTCTGTACGATATTTTCACAATATACATCTCATGGTATAATATTTATTGCAATATTTTGTGAAGGCTGCAAACAAAACGGTTAATATTCTACTTTTTCCTCTTGAAAATACCTTGACAAGACTTAATCCAAAGAACTAAGACTTAAAAGTGCTTAAAACTGTTATTTCTTGTCGTCTGCACTGAAATGGAGCAAAGGATCATGGACTATCTTAGGGCCCGACCGATATATCAGTTGGCCGATACCTGGAAACATATCGGTGATTGGCCTAAATCTTGCAGATATGGGCCGATATTTCATCGTGATAAAGCTTAAACTCTCAATATTATGTTCATTTAATCCAATTTACAGACAGATAAACGTCCTCATATGTGAGTCACTTGTGTGTGTCTGTGTCCGTACTGTCCCTGAACACACCCCCAGAGTCACGTCACTCACATGAGTCCTGGTTTAGTCCTGGTTCAGTCCTGGTTCAGTCCTGGTTCAGTCAGTCTGGGTGCAAAACACAATAACATTCAGTATCACTGACTTACAAAATAAAATCGTTCCTATGAAATGTTTTGCTTTGTTCTTTCGTCTTCTTACTCCGCTCGTTCGTCCCGCATCTGAAACTGTGAAAAACTTTACCTTAAACCAGGGAGACCCCGCACCAAGATGGCGGCTGTATTAACACATTTCAAGGGTCTGAAAACGAGACTCTAAATCTGTGAGTCTTGACACCAAAACATGGATAAATGTGGAGTTAGAACATGGATCTATATTTGTTAAAAGTGTAAAACATAGATCCATGAGTAAAACTTACCGATGGCGGCGGGCGGCTCGGACCAACTGCGGCGGCGTCTTCCAGGTGGTGTCTGCCAAAAGTGCACCGACGGACTTCACTCGGCTTATTTTGGTTCCGCGTGGGAACTTTGAAAAGTGGAAAGTGTGCGGGGGCTTGGTTTATAAAAATGTAGATTCTTATATTCTGAGAAAAATAGCGGGTATAAATGAATGTTCATATTTTTAGTGTGGGTTTTATGTGAATATTTATCCTAATGCAGGGAGGGGTATTCAACTAAAATTTGAGGAGGTTGGAGAAAATCTCCTCAAGTGGACGTCCAGGACCTCATAATGTCAGACTTACATTATGATTGTGATACAGAAGTAGGCAAGGCAAGGCAAGTTTATTTGTACAGCACAATTCGTACACAAAGTGCTTTACAGAATAAGAAATACATTAAAATCATAATAAAAACAGATCAAAACATAAATAATCATAAAGATTAAAATTAAAAAAGAGACACATAAATTGGAGGGAAGAGTGCGGAATGAAAACCTTTCAGTTATTTGCACAGTTAAACAGAAATGTTTTGAGCCTGGATTTAAACAGCGTCACAGAAGAGTCTGTCTCACATGTTCAGACTGTTCCAGGTTTTAGCTGCGTGAACCTGAAACTCTGACTCCCCTTGTTTAGTCGTGACTCTGGGCACCAGCAGGAGGCCGGTCCCTGAGCTCCTCAGAGTGTGAGATGGTTCATATGACACTAACATGTCAAAGATGTACCTTGGTGCTCGGCCATGGAGAGACTTGTACAAGCAGAGCTGCTTTAAAGTCTCTGAGGCACAGGAGCCAGTGCAGTGACCTGAGCACAAGACTTATGTGCTTGAACTTCCTAGTTTGAGTCAGGACCCAAGCTGCAGCGTTCTGGATGTTCTGCAGCGTCTCACAGCTCGTTTGGAGAGACCAGTGAGCAGAACATTACAGTATCTAACCTACTGGAGACAAACGCATGGATAAGTTTCTCCAAGTCTGCTTTAGACAGTACACCTTAGATTTTTGCTATGTTTTTTAGATGGTAAAAGGTTGCAGATGTTATTGATTTGATGTGGCTGTTAAATTTCAAGTCTGAGTCCATTATTACCCCTAGATTTCTTGCCTGATTTGAAAGTTTTAGTGTTTTCGTTTAAGTGTTTCGTTTCGTGATTGTAATTCTTTAAGTCGTAACTTTTCAATTCCTATTCTGATAGATGCTTCAGTTAGAATGATTTTAATCTGTGTGTGATTTATCACAGGCATGGGTGGGTAACAGGTGGAATGTTAACGGGTCCAGGCTGGTGTGGGTCTCCAAAAATTGACCCGAGAAGGACTCTAGGTCGGGTCACGTTGGTCACGTGGTGTGCTGGTGGTGGTCCAACATGCACCGCAGTGATTCATTTTGTGGTTATCACGACAGCCCTAAGTTGGAACACACCCTCCAGTCCCTCTTCTTAAACAGAGAGACCACCCCTGAGCTAAAGTTAGTTCATCTTATTCTTGACTGTAAAAACAATACAGTCTGTTTAAACCTCTGTCTAATAATAATAATAAAAAAAGAAACCTGTACATATCAGCTTAAGCTTTTAATTTTTCACACTACACAGAGCTCAACTCCACAGTCTGGAGTCTCTGAAGCCTGATCTGTACCTTTTTGAGTCTGACTTTAGGTTCACTTGATCCAGTCTCAGCAGCTCTTTCTCCTTTAGTGTGTTCAAGAGGGTGCAGCTTCAGATGAGCAGGTTTTCTCAAAGTCCTTCCACACTGGTCACAGCTGCAGCTTTTCTCTTCAGTCTGGAAGATTTGGACATGTTCCTCACAGAACTGAAAGCCTTCCCCTCTATCTTCATTCGTCTGGTTCGTCTCCTGTGTGCGTTTTGTAGTGACTGGAGAGTTGCTGGGATGTTTTAAAAGCCTTTTCACACTGGTCACACTCATATACTATGTCCCAGGAGTGAGTTCTCATGTGTGCTTTGAGATTGGATGATGTAGAGAACCTTTTCCCACACTGGTCACACTCGAAGGGTTTCTCTCCAGTGTGGATTCTCAAATGTGACATAAGGTGGGTTGACTGTGAAAATCTCTTTTCACAAATATCACATTCATATGGTTTTTCCCCAGTGTGGATTCTCATATGTTTACGGAGGACAGAGGGGCGTGTAAATTCCTTTCCACACTGGTCACATTTGTATGGTTTCTCTCCTGTGTGAGTTCTCATATGTTGACGGAGATTACCAGATAGTATAAACGCCTTTCCACACTGGTCACATTCAAAAGGTTTCTCTCCTGTGTGAGTTCTCACATGTTGATGGAGGCCACTGATGTTTATAAATCCCATCCCACACTGGTCACAGCTGTATGGTCTTTCTCCTGTGTGGCTTCTGTAATGTCTTTTCAGTCCGGAAAGTTTTGGCCACACCTTTCCACACTGGTCACACGTGAACCCCATTCTGTTGGTGGATCTTGTCACTCTGCATTAGAACAAAGGAAAGGAAGCATCAAGTAAAATTACTTTAACTGTTCACACTAAATACAAGTAAAATCACACATAGTAAATCGTATATAAGAATGTTTCAATATGTGTTTTACAAGCAGGTTACTGAAAAGTAACCGGCTGAAAGTATCAACTAAGTTTGTATTTTATTTTAAAGTCACACTTTTTCTGTCTGTAGCAAAAGAAAATCAAATTAAAGCTGCAAGCGGCGTCGAACGGCCCTCGCCCGCCGTGCCCGCAAACACTGCGCCAGCGAACGCCGCGCCTGCAAATGGTGCGCCCCGCCAACACCATACCCTAAATGCTGTGCCCGCAAACTCTGTGCCTACAAACAGTGAAATTACATAGTGGGCCTTAAATGTTCTTTGCGCCCCCTGCTGGCCAACCTTGAAAAATGCCCATGTCAGTAATATATGTTTTTGTTTCTAGTCATTAATTGAATTGAATTCCCAAATTTGGAACAAATCCGACAATGTTGACGTTTCATGTCTATGGTAAGGGGTGCTATAGTGTTCACTTTTCATATGTTTTATAGTGAATTATATTCAGGCTGAGATCATGCATTAGTGATTCAAATTTCAGCATGATCGGACTAAGCATGTGCGTGTAATATATTTTCTTACATTTTTGGGGGGAGTTTTTGCGCCCCTGCTGGCCAACAATGAAAAATTCCCCAGGACTGTAATATATTTTTTTGCTCGTAATCATACATAGAATGTAATTCCCAAATTTGGTGCAGATCTGACAATGTTGACGTTTCATGTCTATGGTAGGGGGCGCTATAGTGTTCACTTTTCATATGTTTTATAGTGTATTATATTCAGACTGAGATCACGGATTAGTGATTCAAATTTCAGCACGATCGGACTAAGCATGTGCGTGTAATATATTTTTTTCTATTTTTGGGAGGAGTTTTAGCACCCCTGCTGGCCAACGGTGAAAAATTCTCCATTTCCATAATATACTTTTTTGCTCGTAATTATGCATAGAATTTAATTCCCAAATTTGGTGCAGATCTGATAATGTTGATGTTTCATGTCTATGGTAGGGGCGCTATAGTGTTTTTTCATGTTTTATAGTGTATTATATTCAGACTGAGATCACGCATTAGTGATTCAAATTTCAGCACTAAGTCTGTGCGAACAGGAGCAAATAATGTCACCTTGAAATTAGGCGAAATTTTTACTGAAATTTGCGGCTTCGCCGCACGTAAACTGTGACAGTTATCAAAAAAAAATAAGCTAACTTTAGATGTTCCACTTCTCTAGATGATGTACGGTGATTTTCAGCCCTGTGGGTGAAGCGCCTTCAGAGGAGTTCGTTCAAATGCAACGTCAGCGAAAACGCAGACTCAAATTTCAATCCAAGATGGCCGCCTTCTGGTTTGTCAGGGGGAGTGGCCATAATAATATTTTTTGTTTTTTTTCACATGATGAATGTCTGTGCCGAATTTCGTGGCTCTACGACAAAGTTGACCGGGACATCTCCCATAGGCGCGAAATTTTTGACTTTTCCAGGTGGCGCTGTGTCGCCATTTTTTTATGCCCATGCACGAAACCTATATTTTATCGAATTTTTCGCCACTTCTGAATATTGTGCCAAGTTTGGTGAGTTTTTGAACGTGTTTAGGGGGTCAAATTAGGGTTTAAAGAGCAGAATAATAATAATAAAAAAAAAAATAAAATAATAATAATTCGAGCAAAAACAATATATACGAAAACATTAGAACAACATATTATACATTTTTTGAAAGCTCTCGACCTTCCCCACGTCACCATGGGGTCATTGGTGAGTGACGGGCGCGTCTGCACCATCTCGTCGGGGTCGCCCCCTGACCTCCCATTGACTTCCATTCATTTTAGCAGTAGTAAATATGAGCCAGGCCTTGGGCGTGGGTTACTGGGATACTGCTGTTCGTGCCGGGGGCGACCGTGGACATAGTTGCATGTCGTCTTGTCGCATTCGGACATGCGCACGTCGCTCCCCATTCGCTCCGCTTAGCGGAAGCAATAGGCCCTACGCCCTGTCGGGGCTCGGGCCTAATTAAGGAAACATACACAGAGATATTTGACAACTTTTTTGCTCTGAATTCTAATCCACATGTTCAGTGGAAATGACAAATGTAACACATGTGACGACAGAAGCCAGGGCTTTGGTGGAACAGTGCACCTTTAATTCTGCAAGGACAGAAAAACAGCTCTGCTGAGTGATTGGGACTGACCGTTCCACATGCACAGCATTAAATTCTGTTCCACCATCTATTTATCCATCTATTTACAGGTCTATGTACAAACATCATTTCAATCCTCAGGTGATGAGCAAAAGGGGCTGTTTAAGTTCAGTTGTGAGGAGAGATCTGATTATCCAACAGCCATGATTTAAGTTGATCAGAGAAGGAGGTGAGTAACAGCTCACGTATAGTCACTGGGATGGTGTTCCCAGATTCACCTGGGCGTAGCGCAGAGGGCTTAAGTCTACCTGGTGCCCTAGAGCTAATATCAATCAATCAATCAAACTTTATTTGTATAGCACTTTTCATACATTTGAAATGTAGCACAAAGTGCTTCACATGCAACAGAAACATTTTTAATACATTAATTAACACCCCCCCCACCCCCCCCCCCCCCCATACCACAATTTAAACAGAAACATAAAAACTACAAAACTAATAAACATAAAGCTCTTAAAAGTTATAGTAAAAATTAAAAGTGTATAGCTAAGACCAGATGGAGACAAAATAAAATAGTAATGATAATTTAATTTAAAACTACCATAATAATAACAATAATAATGATAATTTAAGTTAAAACAGGTAAAAGTTTCAGTTAAAAGCTAAATTAAAAAGATATGTTTTAAGTTTACTTTTAAAAATATGAACACTCGCAGCGGACCTCAGATCCTCAGGCAGACTGTTCCACAGACGGGGGCCGTAAAAGCTAAAAGATGCCTCACCGTGAGTTTTAGTCTGGACTCTTGGGACAGTTAAAAGAAGACTACCTGAGGACCTGAGAGTCCGAGAGGGCTCATATTATAAAAGCAGATCAGATAAATAAATAGGACTAAGACCATTAAGAGCTTTATAAACCAATAAAATAACTTTAAAATCTATCCTGAAGCTCACAGGAAGCCAGTGCAGAGACTTCAGTACTGGGGTGATGTGCTCTCTCTTTCTGAGTCCTAATATGGACTCATGTAACTTTCAGATTTAAGTGGCAAGTGGGATTAGGAGTAGTTTTACAACCAGCTCGTGCATTCAGCTCCAGGACCTTGTATCGCGGACCTGACTGGACCAGGACTTGGACCATGGTTTCATCTCTTCATGTTGGACACTAATTCACTTTTGGAGTCAGAACAGCAGATAGAGGACACACTCTGCTCCTCTGGAGAAGGTAAGAAGCTGGTTTTCATTAGTTTTGGACAAATGTGAGGACAGAGCCTCACAAAAGAACGTAAACATAACGTATTACGTAAATATATTAATACGTAAATGAGCTCGTGGGTGCGATGGAGCCGCTCCGGTGTTCTGCCGTGTGTGCAGACAGAACCCACTGAAAACCACTTCATCCTCATCCTTCAGATATAATATATAAATATATATATATATAATATAAATACATAAAAATATCTAAAAGTCTAACGAGCCAAAGATTTCGCGACCCCCCGTTGAAGACCTCTGCCTTAAACCAGGGAGCCCCCGCACCAAGATGGCGGCTGTATTAACGCATTTCAAGAGGCTGAACGCGAGATTCTAAATCTGTGAGTCTCGATTCCAAAAATGGATAAATGTGGAGTTAGAACATGGATCTATATTTGAGTAACATGAGTAAAACTTACCGACAGCAGCGGGCGGCTCGGACCAACTGCGGCGGCGTTTTCCGGGTGGTGTCTGCCAAAAGCGCTCCGACGGACTTCACCCGGCTTATTTTGGTTCCGGGTGGGAACTTTGAAAAGTGTAAAGTGTGCGGGGGCTTGGTTTATAAAAATATAGATTCTTAAATTCTGAGAAAAACGGTGTGGATTTGTATAATTGAATGTTCATGTTTTTAGTGTGTATTATATGTGAATATTTATCCTTATGTAGGGAGGGGTATTCAAATAAAATTCAAGGAGGTTGGATAAAATCTCAAGTGGAGGTCCAGGACCTCATAATGTCAGACTTGCATTATCATTGTGATACAGCAGTAGCATAGTTTTAACACTGTCTTAATGTATGAACATCGAAGTGAAAAACATTTCATCAAAAATGTATTTTTTACACTGAAACACACAGTAGGATTACATTATATACAGGGCTGCACTTTAAAATGAATTAGAGAAAATAAATAAAATGGCTGTATTCTGCATCTTATAAAAAAATAAAAATAAAAAATACGCAGCAGCTTGAGTTTCCCTTTTTCTTTACCTGTCACATCTCGACTTGATAGTCTCAATCAATTTTTCAACAGATATCTCAAAACATCTTTCCTCTGTGAAAAATATACTAGGGGGGTGTTGCCTGTATTGACCGGAAAAGAATCAGCAAAAAAGAATCAGCCAGATGTCTTAAAAATAAGTTTAACAAGCCATGGTAACATACTTTAGATTGTAAAATTATTAAACCAACGTACAGCATGTGTAGTTAAAATACATTCTCCCAGAGCGTCCCCCACAGGACGCCATGAGGAACACGGTCAAACACCTTCTTCAGATCCACAAAGCACATGTGGACTGGTTGGACAAACTTCCATGAACCATCGAGCACCTGATGGAGAGAGTAGAACTGGTCCAGTGTTCCACGACCAGGACGAATTCCACACTGCTCCTCCGGGATCCGAGGTTCGACTATCGGCCGGATTCTCCTCTCCAGTCCCCTGGAATAGACCTGACCGGTGAGGCTGAGGAGTGTGATTCCCCTGTAGTTGGAACACACCTTGCAGTCCCTCTTCTTAAACAGAGGGACCACCCCTGAGCTGAAGTTTGTCCATCTTATTCTTCACTGTAAAAACAATACAGTCTGCTAAAATCTCTGTCTAATAAAAATAATAATAAAAAAAGAAACCTGTACATATCAGCTTAAGCTTTTAATTTTTCACACTACACAGAGCTCAACTCCACAGTCTGGAGTCTCTGAAGCCTGATCTGTACCTTTTTGAGCCTGACTTTAGTTTCACTTGATCCGGCCTCAGCAGCTCTTTCTCCTTTAGTGTGTTAAAGAGGGTGCAGCTTCAGATGAGCAGGTTTTCTGAAAGTCACAGCTGCAGCTTTTCTCTTCAGTCTGGAAGATTTGGACATGTTCCTCACAGACCTGAAAGCCTTCCCCTCTTTCTTCAGTCGTCTGGTTCGTCTCCTGTGTGCGTTTTGTAGTGACTGGAGAGTTGCTGGGATGTTTTAAAAGCCTTTTCACACTGGTCACACTCATATACTATGTCCCAGGAGTGAATTCTCATGTGTGCTTTGAGATTGGATGATGTAGAGAACCTTTTCCCACACTGGTCACACTCGAAGGGCTTCTCTCCAGTGTGGATTCTCAAATGTGACATAAGGTGGGTTGACTGTGAAAATCTCTTTTCACAAATATCACATTCGTATGGTTTTTCCCCGGTGTGGATTCTCATATGTTTACGGAGGACAGAGGGGCTTGTATATTCCTTTCCACACTGGTCACATTTGTATGGTTTCTCTCCTGTATGAGTTCTCATATGTTGATGGAGATTACCAGATAGTATAAACGCCTTTCCACACTGGTCACATTCAAATGGTTTCTCTCCTGTGTGAGTTCTCATATGTTGACGGACGCCACTGATGTTTATAAATCCTGTCCCACACTGGTCACACCTGTATGGTCTTTCTCCAGTGTGGCTTCTGTAATGTCTTTTCAGTCCGGAAAGTCTTGGCCACACCTTTCCACACTGGTCACATGTGAACCCCATTCTGTTGGTGGATCTTGTCGCTCTGCATTAGAACAAAGGAAAGGAAGTGTCAAGTAAAATTACTTTTTTAACTGTTCACACTAAATATACATAAAATCACACATAGTAAATCATATGTAAGAATGTTTCAATGTGTGTTTTACAAGCAGGTTACATTATGGCTGAAAGCATCAACTAAGTTTGTATTTTATTTTAAAGTCACACCTTTTCTGTCTGTAGCAAAAGAAAATCAAATTAAGGAAACATGGCGTGCACCAGCTCGTGCATTCGGCTCCAGGATCTTGTATCGCGGACCTGACTGGACCGGGACTTGGACCATGGTTTCATCTCTTCATGTTGGACACTAATGCACTTTTGGAGTCAGAACAGCAGATAAAGGACACAGTCTGCTCCTCTGGAGAAGGTAAAAAGCTTGTTTTCATCAGTTTTGGGCAAATGTGAGGACAGAGCCTCACAAAAGAACGTAAACATATCGTATTACATAAATATATTAATACGTAAATGAGCTCGTGGGTGCGATGGAGCTGCTCCGGTGTTCTGCCGTGAGTGCAGACAGAACTAAGGATGGGCATTCGATGAAATTTTCTTAATCGATCGTCGGAAGAATTAACGATCGATTATCGATTAATCATTAACGTTTTTATATTAAAATGATCATCATTATTATTACTATCTGCACTACTAATCTGCATAAATAAATTCAACTTTACAACATATAAACCGTAACGACTCTCGAGCCACATCAATCTGTTTGACATTATAATGTGTTTAATTCGGTTTTGCGCAACTCTCACAAAAACGAAACTTAAAACCACATCGCTAATTTGCATAAACTCAGCGAAGATAAAACTACAGCTCTTGTGTCGCTGATGCGGTCAATTTCTGTTGGATTAAAAGACATGACTCAGTGGAATACAGGTTAGTGTGACCAGATATGTGTTTGTCAAAACCAGGACACTGTATGGGGGGAGGGACATGGGGGAGGGACGTGGGGACTTGTCATCAACATTGCGCGACTCTCACCTGGTAAAGCGTTTTTTCCCACTGGACACCGAAACATATGTTCCTGCATTGTACACTGTGCACATGGACTCCCACTTGTCCCGAACGCAACGGAAAGCCTGGAATTTCTTGTACAAGTCATCGTTAAATACACATTTGTGCTTCGGTACGTTGCAGACTGACCGAATGTTTGTGTCTCGCTCCTTCTGAGTGCAGAGAGACACATACGGACCCCTGTTTGGTCACGCTACGCACAGCAACCTACATTTGGTTTGTCGATTAAAATTAACGTAATCGATGAAATTCTTAATGATCAATTATCGATTAATCATACCCATCCCTAGACAGAACCCACTGAAAACCACTTCATCCTCATCCTTCAGAAATAATACATAAATATACATATAATATAAATTAGAGCCCGACCGATATGGATTTTGTTGTGGCCGATATGAAACGGATATAATGGGAGTTGGAGCTGCCGATAGCCGATATAATCACCGATATATTTAGTGATGTAAAAATTCACTTTAAATCTTGAATTGTTTAAAAAACTTTTTTAGGCAACATTTATTGTTATTCTGACTCTTTATATCATATTTATGTCATATTTACATACAGTAGATTGGCCTAATGGCATTTTTGCATCACATTCTAGCTACTAGTGATGGGGATTCCAGTTTTTTTTTGGAGAACCGGCTCTTTTGGCTCGGCTCACTAAAGCAGCTGGCTCTTTCGGCTCCCAAGTGACTCTTGAGATTGTTTTGTTGCAAGCAGGACTAAACCAGAACTGAACCAGGACTGAAAAAGGACTAAACCAGGACTAAAACAGATTTAAACCATGTGTGAAACAGGACTAAACCAGAACTTAACCAGGACTGAGTGTCGGGACTCGATTTCTATCTCTCTCCCTCACTCGAGCCCAAGATTAGTCCTGGTTTATTTATTTTATACTGAACTGCAGCCAAATATGCACTTTTTTTATCCTATGCACACGCATATTTCTGAAAGTTTCGTTTTCAGCCGCTGCTGCTGTCAAACTACGGGTCTACAAGCGGCTTGAAGAGAAAAAGTGAGAAAAAGAGAAAACACGGCTCCCAATAAGAAACATGCTCCCGTTGTTCGCTTCAAAGAGCCGGATCTAAGAGCCGCTTCGATCGTGACCGACCCATAACTCCTAGCTAGTAAACTATCGCTATTAGCCTTTAGCCGTAAAAACGTGCGCACAGCGGTAATTAATTATATGCATAAATGTGGATTCATTCACACGTCTATTCACAGCTCATTTACATATCAATGCTGGTCCAGTAACAAACGTACGGCCAATACAGTCACTTTACAATAGACCAATAGAAAACAGTCTGTTTATGTGCGGGAGCTACAGCAGCTAACCGCTAACAAAACCTAAACTAGCTTCAAAGTCGATGTATTTCCAACACTCACCGCTCACACAGGCTCCTCCTCACATCACAAGTCTGCACTAATAAATGTCCTTTTAATCCAGACTCAAACCGATTGTCCGTAAAAAGAATATAATCTCAGTGTTGCGCACGGCTGCGGGTGTAAACAAGAACACGTGAGTGAAGTGACGTGACTCTGTGGTGTGTTCAGGGACAGTACGGACACAGACAAATTACACCACAGATAAATACTGATGCGGAGCCACATATTAGGACATTTATCTGTCTGTAAATTGGATTAAATGAACATAATGTAGACAGTCTAAGCTTTATAACGAGGTATAACATGCCCACGTGAAATATCGGCCCATATCAGCGAGCATATCGGCCGATAGCCGATATGTCTCCAGGTGCCCATATTGGCCGATAATATCGGCCAGCCGATATATCGGTCGGGCTCTAATACAAATATATAAAAATATCTAAAAGTTTAATGAGCCAAAGATTTCGCGACCCCCGTTGAAGACCTCTGCCTTAAACCAGGGAGCCCCCGCACCAAGATGGCGGCTGTATTAACGCATTTCAAGAGGCTGAACGCGAGATTCTAAATCTATGAGTCTTGATACCAAAAATGGATAAATGTGGAGCTAGAACATGGATCTATATTTGTTAAAAGTGTAAAACATAGATCCATGAGTAAAACTTACCGATGACGGCGGGCGGCTCGGACCAACTGCGGCGGCGTCTTCCGGGTGGTGTCTGCCAAAAGCGCTCCGACGGACTTCACCCGGCTTATTTTGGTTCCGGGTGAGAACTTTGAAAAGTGGAAAGTGTGCGGGGGCTTGGTTTATAAAAAATGTAGATTCTTATATTCTGAGAAAAATTGTGGTATTTGTATAATTGAATGTTCATGTTTTTAATGTGTATTATATGTAAATATTTATCCTAATGCAGGGAGGGGTATTCAACTAAACTTTGAGGTGGTTGGGGAAAATTTCCTCAAGTGGAGGTCCAGGACCTCATAATGTCAGATTTACATTATGATTGTGATACAGAAGTAGCATAGTTTTATTATTGTCTGAATGTATGAACATAGAAGTGAAAAACATTTCAACAAAAATGTATTTTTAACACTGAAACACACAGTAGGTTTACATTATATACAGGGCAACAGTTTAAAATGAAGTAGAGAAAATAAATAAAATGGCTGAATTGAAGGGCTTTATTTCAGAAAAAATGGCAGCAGCTTGAGTTTCCCTAGGGTCATTCCACGCCATTTCACCAAATGGCCCACACACTTTGATCTCAAAAAAATTTGAAAAAAATACCAAATAGTCCCTTACTATCATGTTCCAACCCTGTGAGGTTTTAGTGATTTTTTATCATTGTTTTTCAAGTTACAGCTCATTTAGTTAGGGGAGTATGTGGCAATTTACGGCTCAACATCGCATAATTCTTTCTCAGCTGTTTTCACAGGTTGATATCTCCGTAAGTATCACACATAGAGGGCTGAAATTTTGTAGGCTTGTACTCCTCCACTCTGTGTTCAAATAACTTTTGAAAGTTTTGTATCTCAACTCATTGTCATTTTATATGAACTTAAAAATGAAAAAAAACAAAACTTGTTCATTTGTGTGGCGTACCATTTTTATCCCATTTTAAAACCTACTTGTAGGTGTCCGAGACTCTTAATTTTTTTTGAGAATCAAGATATGTACTAGGACTGTTAAAAGAAATCACCAAATGTTGAAAATTTGAAATAGGTTATGTGTGAGGGTCCTGTTAAAAACAAGAAAATGCAACATGGTCTGATTTTCACATGTAATTTATGGCATGTGGGTAGTGAAAATTTTTTTGAATAATTTTCTTTGAAAGACCAGAAAAAGACCTTTCATATGGTACCAAACATATGTATTTTATGAAGCTCCTTCAATTTTAATTGTATCTTGAACATTCACATTTGACACAATGACACGAGTATACAGTGACCATGTACTATGTTTTATTCCAGCAGCTAAGGTCACTAAACATTTAAAGACTGAATCAAATGGTTTCATAATAATTTTGATCTGACAAGTTATCTGACATCCAAGATAACAGCTGTCGCTTATTCTCATATTAAAGAAACAATCAAGTCATGTTCAACAATATGATATTGTCTTCTGTTAGTTGTGGACGGCACATTGATGTTCAAGACGATGCAAAACATGACAATAGATTTAGATTTAGATGCGCAAGGAACTCAAACATCCGGAAGCAGCCAAGAAGTGAGGAAACGGTTTCCTATCATGTTTGGATTGCCTGAGCAGGTAAAGAAAGTTTTATGGAGCCTTAAATGGAAAGTGTTAAGGTTGTCCATTTAAGGGAAATTTCAGGATTTGTGGGAATTTATCGCATATAAAAATAATATTCTTCTTTATTCTGGGGTGGACCTATATAGTTCCAAATGCACATTTGTTTTGAAGTTTTTTTTGTTATATATTTTAAGAGAGCCAGTACATGTTTGGATCACCATAGGACCAAGAGCCGACTCCCAAGAAATTAATGAAGTGCACAGATGACAAAGCGCCTGGTACAAGTTACAAGGCCACACCCCAGTCCACATGATCAACTGAACCATCTAAAACCAGTCCACCAGGGATGAAAAAGCCTCCACAGGTTGAGGAGAATTCTGGTGGTCAAGCTTGTGGGGACTGTCCATGCTGCCATGACCTCGGCCAGAAAATCCAAAAGCTTCAGCACCGACTGCGGGTTTATAAAGATGTGCCTACTGATACTGATGACAAATAAGATGTACGAGGTCTGTGTTCTGGGTTTTTAGATATCTTGTAACACATCCTGTTGATTAATTCTTGTTCATGTTTGGGAGCTTTAGCTGCTGGAATAAAACATAGTACATGGTCACTGTATACTCGTGTCATTGTGTCAAATGTGAATGTTCAAGATACAATTAAAATTGAAGGAGCTTCATAAAATACATATGTTTGGTACCATATGAAAGGTCTTTTTCTGGTCTTTCAAAGAAAATTATTCAAAAATTTTTTATCACTACCCACATGCCATAAATTACATGTGAAAATCGGACCATGTTGCATTTTCTTGTTTTTAACAGGACCCTCACACATAACACATTTCAAATTTTCAACATTTGGTGATTTCTTTTAACAGTCCTAGTACATATCTTGATTCTCAAAAAAAAATTAAGGGTCTCAGACACCTACAAGTAGGTTTAAAAAGGGGATAAAAATGATACACCACAGAAATGAACAAGTTTTTATTTCATTTTTAAGTTCATATAAAATGACAAATAGTTGAGATACAAAACTTTCGATAATTGTGATTTCAACACAGAGTAGAGGAGTACAAGCCTACAAAATTTCAGCCCTCTCTGTGTGATACTTATGGACATGCATACTCCCCTCATAAAATGAGCTGTAACTTGAAAAGTAATGATCAAAAATCACTAAAACTTCACAGGGTTGGTACATGATAGTAAGGGACCAGCTAGTATTTTTTTCAAAAAAAAAACATGATGCGTGAGATTTTATGGAAATTTTATGAAATGGCGTGGAATGACCCCCTTTTTCTTTACCTGTCACATCTCAACTTAATAGTAGGGGTGTGCAAAAATATCGGAATATCGATATATCGTATCATTTAATGTGATGATACAGTATCAATATCGTGGGCTACTGTATCGATATATCACCAAGAATATTTTTATGTGTGTTTTACTAAATTATTTTGTTACAATGCTACAGTTTTGTTGCTTGTGGAGTGAAAGGAAACTCATTTATGCGACACATTTGACATTTTGACTCTGTTTTGAGGATTTAAATGTTTGTGTTTCATATGAACTTTGCACAAGAAGTGGTTTAACAAAGACTTTTAGTATCACAGCCATGATTTAGCCTTTATTTTGTATTGAACTGTATCGAATCGATTTGAAATATATCATATCGAATCGAAAGTGCACTGTATCAAGATATGCATCATATCGTGGCCTGCGTATCGAGGTATGTATCGTACTGGCAACTTCTTAATGATACCCAGCCCTACTTAATAGTCTCAATCAATTTTTCAACAGATATCTCAAAACCTCTTTCTTCTGTGAAAAATATACTAGGGGGGTGTTGTCTGTATTGACCTGCTGCAGGGAAAAGAATCAGCACAAAAGAACCTGCCAGATGTCTTACAAAATTTTAATAAGCCATGGTAACATATATTTTATATTGTAAAATTATTAAACCATTGTACAGCACGTGTAGTTAAAATAAATTCTCCCAGAGCACCCCCCACAGGACACCACGAGGAACACGGTCGAACACCTCCAGATCCACAAAGCACATGTGGACTGGTTGGACAAACTTCTATGAACCATCGAGCACCTGATGGAGAGTGAAGAGCTGGTCCAGTGTTCCACGACCAGGACAAAAACAACACTGCTCCTCCTGGACCCGAGGTTCGACTATTGGCCAGATTCTCCTCTCCAGTCCCCTGGAATAGACCTGACCGGGGAGGCTGAGGAGTGTGATTCCCCTGTAGTTGGAACACATCCTTCAGTCCCTCTTCTTAAACAGAGGGACCACCTCTGAGCTGAAGTTTGTCCATCTTATTTTTCATTATAAACAGTGAAGAATAAGATGGACAAACTTCTCCTAAAACCTCCTTCCAGGGTATCCTCAGGTTTGACTACTCCAAATTTAAGACTTTTTAAAAAAACATTTTAAGACCATTCAAATGAAAATTAAGACCAATACTGCACCCATTATGCAGGCGAAAAACTCCAGATCCAATTCTAATAATGACCAACCAACTACTATCCCTACCCTTTTAAATCTTTACATGCTGCCACTAGGACAGGTCATCAGGAGACACGGTGTTAACTTTCATAGCTACGCTGATGATACCCAGCTCTATATCGCCATGTCTCCTGATGACCTGAGCCCGATTGATATCCTTTTAAACTGCATTTTAGATATTAAGTCCTGGATGGCAGCAAACTTCCTCCAGCTCAACCAGGGCAAAACCGAGGTTTTAATTATTGGTCCTGAAGCTCAGAGAGAGAGGCTCAAAGCTAAGCTCCAAACCTACTCACTGAACCCCTGTGAGAGGGTCAAGAGTTTAGGAGTTATTCTTGATAGTGAGCTTAGCTTTGAGCCACACATCAGGTCCATCACTAAATCTGGTTTTTATCATCTAAAAAATATTGCCAGAGTCTGACCATTTCTCTCTCAAGCCAATGCAGAGATTTTAATACATGCTTTTATTACAAATCGTGTTGATTACTGCAATGCTCTCCTTTCTGGTCTTCCAAAGAAATCTACAGCTCCATTGCAGCTCCTTCAAAACTCTGCAGCTGCTGACGAGGACCAGGAAGCGAGAGCACATCACCCCAGTACTGAAGTCTCTGCACTGGCTTCCTGTGAGCTTCAGGATAGATTTTAAAGTTCTTTTATTGGTTTATAAAGCTCTTAATGGTCTTAGTCCTATTTATTTATCTGATCTGCTTTTATCATATGAGCCCTCTCGGACTCTCAGGTCCTCAGGTAGTCTTCTTTTAACTGTCCCAAGAGTCCAGACTAAAACTCACGGTGAGGCGTCATTCAGCTTTTACGGCCCCCGTTTGTGGAACAGTCGACCTGAGGATCTGAGGTCCGCTGCGAGTGTTCATATTTTTAAAAGTAAACTCAATATCTTTTTAATTTAGCTTTTAATTGAAACTTTTATCCGTTTTAACTTAATTACATTTATTCTAAATT